GAGTGGTAAGTCCTGAATGTGAGAGACACTCCCCCCAGCTTTGGACTGGGCAAAGTATCTTCTGTATTCTGCGGTCAGCCCTTGAAAATTGCAACCTGTATTTTTTATTTTATTTATTTACTTATTTATTTTTTTATTTATTTATTTTTCCATAGGACATGTACATTTATCAGAGAGACAGTGAGAGGGAAAGTGAAAAATACACCTGGGACAGCCATGCTGCAATCCCATCTTCTGTAGTCTCCTCCTGGGATTTTGGGCATGCATGCACACACACCTGGTGTGGTTTCAAGATGCTGCATCTGGAACACAAGCTGTCGTTGGCCATGTGGGAGTCCAGTGCCCTAACCACCACACCACCTGCTGACCCCATCAACCTGTATTCTTTAACAAATTTTTAAAGTGTATTTATATATTTCTTCTGAGAAAGAGAGAGAGAGAGAGAGACACTCCCAAACTCCCAAGAGGGTCGTCACTCTGCGAGCTGCCTCATTTCAGCTGACCCAGATCCTTGGCATCCCTGCCCGTAGTGTGCTCAGGAAGGTCAGGATGTTCACATCAACCCTACTCCAGAAGTCCTAAGTTCATTTAGGACTTCTCTCGTGTGTGTCCAGTTCCATTGCCAGTGTCCCATTGCCTGGCCCTGCATCCTGTATTCCATAAAAGAATACTTCTGGTTTATTTATTTATTTTTTAAAAAAAGAATTATTTTATCGAACTTACTTACTTTCTTTCTTTCTTTCTTTCTTTCTTTCTCTTTCTTTCTTCCTTTCTTTCTTTCAAATTTGACAAGAGAGGGCAGAGTGAGAGAGAAAGAGAGAGAGAAAGAAAGTGAGAGGCAAGCTGCCAGGGTCAGGACTTGAACCATGATCAGCCATGTGAGAGTCCAGTGCCCTTCATCACCATGCCACCTGCTAGCCCCTGTTTTTTGTTTGTTTGTTTGTTTGTTTAAGCTATGAAAATAACCCTATTTGATGCAGAAGATCTAGGAGGACAGACAGACACAAAGAAAATCACACGTAGCCCATGTGTTAGTGCCCTGGGTGCTGGAGGATGGAGGCTGAACGACAGCTTGATGCCTTTCCTAACACCAGCTGTTACACTTGCCCTGCCACTAGTTCTTTTGCCAGGCCTCTAGGTGCAGTCATAGACAAGGTTCATGGTCTTTTCCAGCCACTCCCTTTAAAACAAACCCACTTGAAGGAAGTGAAATTCACATATGATAAGATACACCCACTTTAAATGTACATTGTAGTGGGTTTTCACAAACTCATATGCGTAGGAAACCAGTTGAAATACAGAATATTTTCATCACCCAAAAAGTTCTCTTATATCCGTTCTCACAATCATGTCCTCTCTCACTTAAAAAATTTTTTTTGTTTTCAAGGTTTTTGCCATAGGGTGTGTGTGCTTGCTGGAGAGACAGAGAAAGACCATGAGAGGGAAAGTGAGAAATCACTCCCGGGGTGGGGGCATGCTCTAATCCCCTCTCCTCCCTTTTCCTTCTGGGATTTTGGGCACACATGCACAAGTGCCCAGTGTGATTTTCAAGCTGCTAGAGCTGGAACTAGAACCACAGTCAGCTATGTGGGAGTCTAGTGCATTAACCCCCATGCCACCTGCTGGCCCTGTCTTCTTACAGGGTGGACTTCCTCCTGTAGGGCTGCTCACCTCCATAAGGCCCCCTCTGAAAGCCCTCCCATGAGCTCAGTGCCAGCTGGACTAACTTGGACTTTAAATTCTTAAGGCCTGAACTAGATTCAGATTGTATGCCCTAAGTAGTCCCCATGAAATGCCTCTTACTCACCTTGAGGTGACCAGGAAGCATCTTTTTCTCCTTAGAAGGTGGCAAGTGGACTGAGATTGAATCACATACTCTGATCATTTGACTCTTCAACAGGCATTTTCCAACATAAATGCTTAGCCATCTCTTAAGAGAGTCAGAGTACAGAACCTCTGTGTTGGGTCCCAGGGCCCTGAGCAAAATTCTCTACTCTGGCACAATGATTATATCATTGGACTCCCATGGAGTTGACCATGGTTCAAGTCCTGGACCTGGGGGCCTAAAACTCACACTGGGTGCGTGTGCATATGCATGCCCAAAATCCCAAGAGGAGAACAGAAGAGAAGGGATTGCAGCATGGCCATCCTCCTTGAGGGGTGATTTCTCACTTCCTGTCTCTCTGTCTCTGGTGAGCACATGTGCCCTATAGAAAAAACATCTCTCTCTTAAAAGAAAAAAAAATCTCTACTCAATAACAGGGGCCCTTTTTGATCTCTTTTTACACTAAGAGGCAAGTCTACCTAAGTCTACCATCTAGCATCACCCAATATTAACAGTTCGCCATCAGTCCTTCCAGTACTCTCCACACATGTGGGTATAGACTTACAGTTTTTAAATATGATTATTACACTCATAGTATTTGTATAGCCTGTCTTGTTTTTCACTTTGTGATCAATAACATTTTGAAGTAAATATTCTTCTACAAGCTTGCATGCTGTATGGATTTTTTTTAGAATGTACCATATTTAACCCTTTTTTAAAAAAAAAAAAACTTTTGCACATTTAGGTGGTTTCTTAGTTTTCAGGGATTGACACAAATATTGATGACATGAATATCCTCACTATACATCTTGGGGTGCATTATCTACATAGAATAAATTTCTAAACGTGAAATTTCCGGGTTACATATTTGAATGAAAGATTTTTGGTTTGGGTTGCCTTTTTATCTTCCAGCAAGGTTGTATTCAACTTTCTCATCTGTAGGATATGAGAGCATCTTTTTCTAAACATGCTCACCAGCACCGAAAGTTATAATTCTCTTTACTCTGCACTAGTTTAATTTGCTTTGCTGAAGTGTTCTCGGTCTGTTGTTTTCATTAGTACTTTGCTTCCAAGGTTGAATATTTTTTCATATGCTTATTAAACTGGCATTTATTATTACATTTGTAATAAACCTACACACTCTTACCCTTTATTAACCCTCCCCCACCCCCAAAAAGTATCAGAAGAGTTCATTTATGCTTTGAATTATAGCAATTTGGCTTGCCATAAAAAAAAAAAAAAGAGAGAGAGAGAGAGAGAGAGAAATCATTAAGAAAAGTTTAAACTAAGATTTGCTCTGATAGTTACATTTTATGCAATGAAACAAGGATTGGTGACTTGGGGGTTTCTCTTTCACGGATAAGCGATTGCCCCCAGTTTCATCACGGGTATCATTGTTTGGTTCTTACTTCCCCTTTCCAGGGTCTCGGTGCCCGAGTCCTGGGCCAAATTCACAGATGACAATATTCTGCGCTCCCAGAGTGAACGGGCAGCCTCTGCCAAGCTAAGAGATGACGTTCAAAACCTTTTGGTTGTGACTGCCAATGAGATGTGGAATCAGTTCAACAGAGTGAACTTAGCATTCACCAATCGTATTGCTGAGACTGCGGATGCGAAGAATAAGATTCAGATGCACTTAGCAAAGGTAATACAGCACCTGGTGGGACCCCTTAGCTGACCTGGACAGAGCAGGGTGCTCTGAGACCACAAATCTCTCACCACTCTCACCAGAGAAACACCAGAAGGCATATGACCGCCTGGTCACACAGAGCCAGAAAAATGAAAAACAGCACAAAGCACACCGTTTATTCCAGCCAGGTAGCCAGGTGTCAAAATGAAATGGGAACTGAGTGGTGTGTGGAACATAAAGAATTGCAGTATGTAATGAAAGGTTCTTAGTATTTAATAGAAACAAAAATATTATGATTAAAGTTTAACGAATCACTGTGTATAGCTAGGAAGTGAGTTTATTATTAGAACATATGGTAGGAGTGTTTTCTGTCAAATTATTTCAGACCCTTTTTCTGGAATATGAAGCCAAATACAGGAAACTATTAGGCAGTTCAAAGTGTTTCTGATATTGAAGTTTTTTAAGTGCTCTGAGCGTAAGAGGTTTACAAAGAGTACAGTGAAGGGTTCAAACAGAGCTTGGATGTTGCATGATACACAGAAAACTCTTCCTTTACTTCTTGTCAGACTTGCAGCTCTCATTATTTCTGTTCCATGTGCTGCCTGGAGCTTGTCATTCCTCTTCCTTGACATCCTTGTACAGTCAGCTTTGTGCTGTGAGGCAGTCTCGCCTGACTGAGGGCTCCGTGTTTTCCCAGGCTGCAGCAACTGGCCTTTCTTTCTCCTGGTGGCTTCTTTGGATACCTCAGCAGGCTGCAAACTGTGAAGCACAGAGAAACATGAAATATGTAGTTGAAATAGGTAGTTTTTGTCCCCAGCAAGCTTATATTTCTGGAGAAGAGATGCATATGAACGAAAAGCTCACAAACACTTAATAGTAATAGAAAATGGCAAAATACGACTGCCAAAGAATAGCTACAGCAAGTGTTTTCGGGGCTCTGGGGGAGAAGTGGACATTCCAGGTAAGCAGCATCTTGAAGATACTTTGGGAGGTAACAAACCAGAGGCTGAGTTCAGCCCCACCAAGGGACTAGGGTCCCTGGTGTGGATGGTTTGTGCCCTGGGAGAAAAATGTGGACAAGTAGGTTGAAGCCAGATTGTAGAAGACACTGATGGTTAATGGGGTTAGATACTGTCCATTGGGCAGTAAGAAGCCACTCTAAAGGCCTTTTAGAAGGTGCATGTGAAAGAATTCCTCTGCTCAACATACTGTAATCTATTAATGCGTTAGTCTGTCAGGGCTATTGGGACATAAAGCAGTGTGGCTTACACACCAGAAATGGGTTTTCTCATAGTTCTCAAGGATAGAAACCTGGAATTAAGATGTCTGCAGGGTTAGTTTTTCTGAAGCTGCACTCTTTGGCTTATAAGAGGGCAAGTTCTCCCTGTGTCTTCACACATCTTCTCTCTGTGTCTGTGTCTGGATCTCCTCTGCTTATAAGCACACCATAATGAATTAGGGCCCATGCTAATTACCCCATTGTATTTATATATTTTTTAAAAATTATTTGTTTAACTTTTTATTTATTCATTCGTTTATTTTAATTTGACCAGAGAGAGACAGAGAGAGAAAGAAAGTGAGAGAACAAGCCACCAGGTCCGGGACTTGAACCGCGGTCGTTCATGTGGGAGTGTCCAGTGCCTTAATCACCACGCCACCTGCTGGTCCCCAGCCCCATTTTAACTTAATCACCTCTGCAGAGATCCTAGCTTCAAATCTGATCACATTCTGAGGTACTGGAGGTTAGGAATTTAACATATGAATTTGGGTGGGAAGGGACACAATTCAGCCTGTACATTAGAAGTGCTACACTGGACACTTTAGAGTGTGTGCATACATGAATGTCACCCTAACCCTGCCATCTCATGTCTCAGAGTGACATAAGACACACATGTAATGGTGTCACATGTTCCATCAGAAAGATGCAGAAAGAGCTACAGATAAAATGTTAAGGTAGTTTAGCAGAAAAGAGCAGTTGTTTCTGCTGGGGAGAGATGAGCATGGCTTCCCAGAGAAGGTAGCATCTGAAGTAGGTGGTAGCGGTAGGAACAGTGTAGTGATCTTTATGGGCTGTTGAAAGCTTAGAAGAGAGGTCAAAGTTGAGGTGACCAGTTTAGGTCTGTATTCCGTAAGTGCTAAGTCTGTATGATTACGTCAGGTCTCTGTAAGGGAGAAAGCATGTAGCAGAGATGTCACTCAAGGAAAAAAGTTTGCATGTAAGTGAATGAAGAGTAGAGAGAAGGGCAGGGAGATAGGACAGCAACAGGTCTGAGAAAAGCAACGTGAAGATTTCAAGGACGGAGGCTATCAGAGGCCTCCAAGTCAGCTTTGAGAGACCGTTTCACGAGGAGAGGAATTAGAGAGGACGTACTTGGGAATGGATGGGAGAGTGATATTAAGGACATGTGATTTAAAATTTTGGGGTGATACTGGGGCATATCTCTAGGTCACAGTCAAGAAGTCAAGGGAGAGGGACAGCAACAAGGACGATGTGGAATTATGGGGTTGCGGAGGTCAAGGTCCCAGGAAAAGGGCAAGGGACTCTCTTTATAGGGGAGGAGGAGGAACCAGGGAGGGATCCTGGTTTATAAAATGTGGAAGATATCTTTAACAACCAAAATATAATATGTGGGCCTTTTTAAAAAGTTGTGAGAAAATGAAAATAACGTATAAATGTATTTTGATGCAAAATATCTTAAACTCCATGCATAGATGTTTTTTCATAATATGCGTTTTCCATGAACTTTTTGAAGGCCTCCTTCCCCTCCTCCTCCCAGTACAGGTCCAATTGCAATGGTACTCACTGCCGAGACACTGGGACAGGGACAGGCTGGCACTACATAGGAGACTGGGTTGGATTCCTGGTCCAATCTAAAGGCTGGCATGTTGGTGCATACATAAGAGTCCCTGTGACTTGGGAGGCTGAGGAAGGAGGATCATGAGCTCTAAGCTGACTTGGGCAGTAGCAAAACCCTGTCCAGTAAGGAGGCAGGTAGGGTGATACCCACTTACAGTCTCACAAATTGGAAAAACAAAACTAATAAAAGAATACAAAATCAGGAGTACAGATTGCCAGTGTTCCTCCCTGGCAAGTGAGGTGTACTGAAGCATAAACCTGGTTAGGTTCCAGCAAATCCTCTGCTAGGAGGGAAGCAGTTCTCTTATGCTAGAGGAGAGAGTGGGAAGATAGGCAAGAGCATGTTGATGTGAAGAGGGAGGGTAGGCCACTCAAACCCCGTGACCTCAATTTTATTATAGTTAAACACAGGTATGTGCTTATAAATAACAACTGGGGATCTGTGGTGGGTTGGGATGGGCAGAGGGATTGTAATATTTGTCAACTTCTATAAATACTCCCACTCTGGCTGATTTCAAGCTACCACCATAAGGTCACTGGCCAGACCCAGAGTTGGGAAGAGAGGCCCACAGTCAGCTCTCCAGAGCAGGTTCGAGCTAGCTCTGGCATAAGATAGCACATTCCTTAGGGGCAGGGAAAGAAGGAACAAGGCTCCCAGTGACTTGACCTCTTCATTCAAGAGGGTGAGAGTGGTGCCTGACACCAAATTGACAGGCCAGAGGTGGGAAGTTGGTGGTTGAGGGGATAGTACCAAGCCTCTGGCAATTGCTTTTCCTTGTCACAGACCCTGCAGGAGATATTCCAGACTGAAATGACCATAGAATCCATCAAGAAGGCCATCAAGGACAAGTCTGCCTTCCTGAAGGTGGCTCAGACCAGATTGGATGAGCGAACACGGAGACCCAACATAGAGCTCTGCCGAGACATGGCTCAGTTACGGTAAGGTGGGAGAGCGGGGCTCAACAGGAAGGAAAGCTCTGGGTACTGTGGCGCAATGCACCAGCCTGACCACTGGGCTCTTCGTAGAGGGTTTTCTGCCAACACACATCCTGTGGGCGCCATCTTTAAAAGTGTTCCTAGGCCCAGCTGGGGTGCGATGTACTACTAAGATGCCACTCTGCAGGTTAAGACCACACAAGAGGCCTGGTTTTGATTCACACCCCAACCTAAAGGCAGAGTGGAAGCTGAAGCAAGATCACAATACCTAGAGAAGACTCTGTCTTTAAAAAAAAAAAATCATAATGGGGAGTTGTTGAGTGGCAGGGATTTCAGTTGAAAATGCCGGAAAAGTTCTGGAGTGGATGGTGGTGATGGTCGCATGACAGTGTGAGTGTAGTTAATGGCACTGAGATGTACACTTAACAGTGGTTCAAGTGGTCAATTTTATGTTATATACATTTTACCAGAAATGTTTTCAAGTGATATCCCTATACAAAAAGTTTTAGCAAACATTTCTCTCATTCAGTGAGGCCAAGTAGTATGTAGCTTCCTTTGCAAAACCCTGGAGTCTGGAGATTCCAGAAAACCTGTCTTGTGAGCAGCAGAGTTTGTTGGTTTTCTGTGTATGTCTCAATGTTGGGAACTCATCAGAAAATGGACTTTGAGGACCAATTCCACTGACCCTCAGTACTCATTTGTTCTTTGTGGCCTCTCTTGGTGGCTCATTTCTGCTATTGTCATCAAGATCATCCTCATGATCTCCCAAGACCCCCAAAAGTCTCATTCAGTCCCATTTCAGAGTGTTCTGTCCTCACTAGAAATAAAAAACGGCTGGTCTTCATCAAGCACAGCTCCCTCTATGCACAGTGGAATCTGACTCCGCAGTTCATCTACCAAACACTACATGAATTTTATTATTACTTTAGCTTTGAAGATTCCTTTTAGAAGCGGCCTTTAAGGAGTTGGCCAAGATCCTTCCACTCCCACCCCAGTCCCTGCCACATTCTGGCTTCATTCCCAATTTCCCAATACCTGCCAGTCTGTCTTTTCTCACTGGATTTCCTCACAGCTATTCTTAGGTCATGAAATGCTCCACACAGAAGTGAGTCAAATTGATTGCAACTGGAGGAACAAAGGCACAGCTTGTGAGCTCCCAAAGCCTTCCTGGTGCAGTGGGAGAGGCCACTAGCCTTGCCTTCTACCTGGTCCCTTGATAGAATTCCTTCCCTGTGAGGGATTTATCTTTTTTTTTTAATTTATTTATTTTTATTATCATCATAATCTTCTTTATATTACATTGGATTACATATAACTTTACAGTGTATTACATTGCTTTTTCAAAAGGGAATGCCATGAGAAGACAAGGTTCCACATGGCTACAGTGAACTAGATTTTTAAGGGAATGAAGATTTTCTACTAATAATTCAGCCTCCAACAAACGAGCTAGCGGTAGGGAGCCCCCCTCTGCACCCCCAGCTTTCTCTCTCTGTCTCTCAGTTCCTGTCTCTCCCTGCTTCTGTCTTCCCTTTTTTTAAATTTTTTTGGTAATATTTCCTTTTTACCCTTTTTTCTTTTTTTTAAAAAAAAAACAAGGCCCAGTTTTTCTCTGGCTCTTAGCTCCGCCTTCTTTCTTGTTAATTTTCGCTCTGCTCCTCCCATCCAGGCAGAAGACAAGGTTCCACATGGCTACAGTGAACTAGATTTTTCGCACGGCGCTTGCGCGCCTCGTGGTTTTCTATTTTGTGATTTTTTTTTTTAAAAAAAAGAACCGTAATTACAAATTTTTAATTTTTTAAATTTTTTTGTCTTCTTTTCTCTTTTTGTTGTTTTTCTCTGTCTCATTTTCCTTTTTCTTGTCTCTTCACCCTCCAGTATCCTTTCAGTGTGTTTTTAGAAAGATCTAAGAGCACTGTAGCTAAACATCCAAATACTAATAGGGTTAAAATATTCCCCACTATCTACTGAATCTGCTGCACCAGCAAGCACAATAGAACAGCAAAGAGTTTCTGGATCACCTCTGTCTGCTTGCTCCTGAACATTAAGGCTGCACTTCAAGAATTTGAAAGAAACACAACATTCATCAGATGACAAGAAATCACCGCCGGATCACGAGAAATATGGGAAAACAAGAAAATGCCTCCTCTCCTAGGGAAAAGAGTAACTCTTCATC